GCAATACGCTGCATGTCCTTACCACTGATGGTGTGCGTGTGTGTGTGTGTGTGTGTGTGTGTGTGTGTGTGTGTGTGTGTGTGTGTGTGTGTGTGGTGAGCTTTTTGTTGGAGGCTATGCAGGTTCACACATGTTGACTGTGTTTGTTGGCAGACATCAGAGACAAAGAGAAGTCAGTGGGTTGTTTAGCTGTTACTCTTCCCCTTTGCAAGAGGTTAGTTGTTAGACATCTGTTTGCTCTTGTCGGCCCCCAGGCAGCGTGGGCCAATCTCCTTCAAATGTGTGCATGTTTAAGATGCCGTCGTTCAGAGCCTGGAGAAGGGGAGTTAGTGAAATACTGACCTCCAAAAACACACCTGGGACTTCAAAGGCCCCCCCCTACCCAAACAGACACTTGCATGCTGGGCAGCCTTGGTTAAATGACACCCTCGCCTGAGGCTGGGACCGTCTCTTTCAAATACCCCACCACCCCCCTTTCTGGTGTCAATAAATACACACACATTCACTGTATTCACACACACAACTACACATTGTCATTTGCTGTGATTTGGAATGAGTGGGAGGGCGGAAGAGCTCTTGAATTCTTACTTCCTCCTTTTCTCAGTGTTTTCCTTCGCCACTTCATGTCTTTTTCTTTCCACTGGTCTAAAGCCATCTGATTAAAGCCAGCCTCTGCTGACAGGCACCAGCCCTGCTGCAGAGGCCCATAGGAATGTCTGATCTATCCCTCATGTCATAACCCAAGCTGGGCTCTCCATTACCCACTTGCAGATAAGGATTCAGAGCACTTTAAGGGTGAAAACTGAGGCAGATAGATAGATAAAAAGAGGGCCATTTAGGTTTTCTTTTCTTCATTCGCACAGGGGCAGGAAGTGTGAATGTGATTTTCTTCCCACATGTTTCAAAGGCAGAAAACTCCACAAAACCTCCACTTTGGTTTTCCTGTTTAGCAACTACTTAAGTTAAATAACAACCCTGTGACTGCTGATTCTGAATCGCCTCAGACATAAGATGGTATTTGTTTAGTTACACAGTGGTATTTCTATTTATTTACTGTAGGTTACTCTCGGAGATGCCTGTACCAGCGGCCAGTTCACTGAATCGGGGCAGTGTTGCAGTCTGTGTCCTGCTGGCTCCCAAGTGCTGGAAAAGTGTGGGAAAGAGGATACCAAGTGCACGCCATGCCCAAAGGGTAAGCAATTATAATCTAATGTTACTGCACCAGTGGCATATGTTTACCTGCCTCTTCATTATCTCTGTCATCTATGTAAAAGCTCTGAAGATTTAAATAGCAACACGTCTAATCATTGCCACTGATATTTGTGAGAGAAAACCCGTTTACCCACACTGACACTGATTTTGTTATCTGTTTCCCAGGAACGTTTTTTTCATCGAATGGCCTCAGCCCCTGCATTCCCTGTGCAAAGTGCCCGTCTGGTATTCCCACGCATGCCTCTTGTTCTGGCACTCAAGACACACAATGTAAATGTGGCATCGGCTACTTCTTTTTGAGTCAACACGGCCTGTGTGCACTTTGCTCTAAATGCACTCGAGCTGGCGAGGGTGTTACGAGGGAGTGTGGCCTGCAGGGAGACACGCAATGCCAGATCTGTGCCCCGGGAACTTTTTCAGAGGAGCGTATTAGCACCAAACCCTGCAATACCTGCACCCAGTGCTCCAACATTGAGGTGGAGATCCGATCCTGCATGCCCAACTCCGACACACTGTGCATGGGTGAGTTGTAAGGAAGAGTTGGATTATTAAATGCAAGTCTCGAGACATTCCATATTTGTCTTAATGAGAATAAATCCATAGAAAAGACACTTAACAATAAATTGAACCTATTAACTAATAAGCTTTCTCTGTGTAGCCCGAGCCAAAGCCATAACATCCATTGTTTTCAGATAACTACACAGGCACAGTCACTCATTTTGAATTAATCCTATAGTCTCTCTATCAAATAGGCAGCTGAAAATATATTTCAAACTGAATTTACTCCTGTTTTCTAAAATATATTGCAGTTACTGATGTTTTAGTTACTTACTTAAGCTTACATTTTTGAAAGATGGAATAACACAATAAAGATTTTGGTCTTTAAATAGGATTTTCTTGTAGTAGTGCTAGCCTTATTCACTATTTTACAAGTCAAGCCCCAAGGTACCCGTCGGCGGGTACTTTTTTTTTTTTTTTCACGACACTGTGTCTCAGGGGATCTTAATATTTAAGAACATAGGTTCTTAAATATTAAGATCCCCTGAGACACAGTGTCGTGAAAAAAAAAAAAAAAGTACCCGCCGACGGGTACCTTGGGGCTTGACTTGTAAAATAGTGAANGTGTGCCTTGGCAGTCTCACAAGTCAAATCAAGCAATCTGATTGGTCGATAGTGTTTTTTCGGACCTCTTTGATTACAGATTTGAAAACATCGTTGCTTGCTTTAAAAGTAGCACAATTCATTATGTCAAACCTTGGAAAGTGTCTAGATATCCCTGCCCTAATGCCAAAGGAACTGCACACTGAATATGTTTTGCCGTTTGATGTCTATGTCTGGACCGCTGCGTAAAAAGGAGGCTTTCTCCGCTGCTTTCTTGTTCCAGTATGAAAAGCAAACTGCAGGCAGTTTGCTTTTCAGCCCAACGGTATACTGTTTTTCTTAGACGCGGAGGGATACTGACTTGTTGTGAAAAGTAACTTACAATTCTACCCATGGTATACGCTCAGTATATCACGGCTAAGAACCAATCAGATTGCTTGATTTGACTTGTCCGTTTTATAAATATATATATATGGAGGAAGGATCTGAATATGTCCTTCCTCTTGGGAAAGCATATAAAAGAACCTTAATTGATATATCATTTATTTGAAAGTCATTCTGCTTCTTTTCACATTAACATACTTAATTTTGTCTCTATTTATTCATTCTATTAAATGTTTGGAAGAAACCACAAATTCAGAAGTATTTATATTTTAATTATATCAATATGTTGAGTCTTTTTATAGCTTTTTATAAAATGGGTTACACTCTCCATTATGTACGTAGGTAATAAAGGTTCATCTTATCATCTTAACTTATCTTAATTAAAAAACCCTGTATGTAGTTACTTGGATAAAAAAATGAAATGGAGCTCTGTTCATGGCACTATTTTACAACCCTACAGAGATACTTACACAGAGCTGTGATCAGTTGTTATCAGAAACAAAAGAGAGCATGTGAATCAAACAAGCTGGTCTTAAGAAGAAGCACATGTTTGATCTCAGCAACTCAAAAGATTAGAAAACCAACGCAGGGTAAATTACACACCTTGTAAATTCAGTGAATGCATCGCAGGAGGGCCTGGAGACTTCAGAGGAAAACAAATGGAGAGATCTCTCTGACACAATGCTACTTGCACTTCAAAGCCTGCTGAGGGATCAGAGGAGACAGAGAAGATGTTTCTGCTCCGATCAAACTTCAGAATTTAAATCAGTTTCTCTCATTCATGCACAGACACAGAAGAAAACTCTTCCTCAGCGCAGTTTGTGCTCCCTTAAAAGCGAGTAAGTGACATCCAATCTTAACAAGAGATGTTTGTTAAGTAATGAAACATCAATGTATTTTTTTCTAAAGAAAACATACTTTCTGTTTCAATTTGTTGATTAATTATGTAATGTATCAATTGAATAATCTATTAGTTTTCACCAAATAACAGCAAAAAATATATATCTTGCCAAATTGTTGTTTGGGTTTATAATTGTTGTTTGGGTTTATACTTCTTTTGACATGTTTCAATATTTATTTTAGATTAAAGTATAATTTTTCTTTATGTCTCAGCTTCAGCAGTTGTATTCTGCTTTGTCTGTCTTGTTTCAAGATAATGTTTAGAAAAATATCTGGCAACATGTTGTAGTAAACTTATCCCACCTTATATTCGATCTAAAAAAGTTTGAGGAAAAAAAGCATGTAAGTCGGAGATGGTTTCCTGTGCATTATAATCATCAAATGAACAGGTAACATACACACTAGTTTAGTAGGAATCATGCAAATAAACGCTCTCCCTCAATCTTTATCCGTTACTTTTTAGACTCTTTATCTGAGGGCCAGGTCCCTTGTGTTCCTATAAGTGGGATGATAAGGCAGCTATATAAAAGCTGTAGCCCACAGGCAGAGGAGAAATGGACCAGTGGGGGAGAAGGACAGGGGAGAGGAGGGAGGGGGAGGTCTGAGGTTGTTGACAGAGGCCTGTTTGAGGGTTGTTGCGGTTATTGGCAGGAACAACTTGAACAACACTGAAATTGCAGCGTTTCAAGACAACCATCCCCTCAGCCTGCCCTCAGGTCTGGAGGTCAGAGGCTGTCAATAACCGAGAGCAAGGTGGCAACTCCTCCCACCATTGTCAGAGGAGCAACATCAGAGCAACTCGACCCTCTTCCACTCCTGCTCCACTTCCCTTATGTGGTTTGTATTCGAATGGGGGTCTACAGGTCGGTTTTTATCACCCTCCTCACCCCTCCGGATTGTACCCCCAGAGGTGTTTATGGGGAGGCCGACAGGATGTTCGGCCCACCAGGACATCAAAGTCTCCTCTTCAAGTAAATGTGCCATTGCTTGCTGTTGTGACCTTTTCAACTCAAACAGGGTTAACATCGCAGACGCATGAGAGGCTGGGATTACAGTCGACGAGCTGGATGATCAGCCTCGTGGCAGTGGATCAGTTTCCTTCCTGCTGTGGTTCACACACAAGAAACAGAGATCATTTCTCAGTAATGGCCGATTATCCTCAGGGTATGGGCAGGGGTTCAGAAGAAAGAGGGTTTCTAAATATAAGCGTGAATTCACTATCATTGCCCATATAGGGACAATTTCTAGAAAGCTTAAGACTGAAAACGACTTTAGATAATAAAAAGAGAAAACAGACAATCACAAGCCCCAGTGTCATGCTCAAGTTACAAGGAGCACAGACTACTTCATTTTTTTCTTTTTTTAAATAAAGTGTATTTTCAACATCATCCAAGAAAAAAAAACAAAAGCTAAAAGATAATCAACATTTAAGGCAGTGCTGCACTCAAAGCTGTTTGAATGATCATTTGTAATCCAAATTGGGATAATTGAACAACAGATAATACCAAAACCATCATAAACATCCATCTTCAACCCACTTTTTGTAAAGACCCAATGATAAAAAGGAAGCCTCCATTTTGGTCTGATTAAACTTAAGGCTTAATCTACTGCATAATTAAGTGAAACATTACATTCATAACATTGATAGCAAAAACAGAGCAGCATTACATGAATTAATTGCAGTAAACACAATAGCAACCTAGAGTATCAGATGTGTGCTTGAACCGGTGCCAAACAATCCTTTATGTTCACAGACCAGATCAGAAACTCGATCTCATCTTACAGTTGTGTGTTTTTAATTAATTGTTATTTTAGACAGCCTAAATTCACTGATTTTGTGTATTTCCACGGGTAGAAAAAAGATAATTTGTAAAGAGAAAGAAAACACTTTAAATATAGTTCTCTGAGCAACACTTGTAAAGACAAGGTAATTTGTATGTGAGGACAATGTTATGGGTATTGCCTTACACCCAAATAGTTCCCTTTGTCCCGCTTCGTCATGAAACTGCATAACAACTAGTTTGTTCCAACCACAGTAAAAGCAGCTGGCAGGAAGTGAATTCCTCGGAAACTCACTCACAGACTTTCAGGCTTCAGAGTCATCATGTCTTCAGATGTTTTCAGCGCTTCATAAAACAGCACAACACCAGCACAGGCAAGTATGTGCATCCGACCAAGAGTTTACTGAGTTCATTAGCAACATCTTACTCACATCTGACACACAGCAGACATGTACGGTGTGTTTGAATCAGGACAGCAGGGCAACATTCAGACATATAGTGATCTTACATTATATGATCAGAATTCAGTGTTTATACATGGCTCAAGACACAAGCTAAAAAAGGCACTTTTCAGATGGAGTAAAAACAGAGACATAGTCGTGTGCTAAACAGAGAAGTAACAAAACTAGTCCAGCCACATTTGTTAAGATCTAATTGTGTGTGTAAGGCAACAGGAGGCAATCCTCTCGAGTTTCATTGCATCTAAGCTCCACAGGCATGACAAAAAGGTGAATTTATATCACATACTTGACCATTAAAGCAGTTATTGCTTTAATTGTAACAGTTTTACTTCGCTTAGAGCCTAAAGGACTCCAGGATTATACACCGTGGTATTGCGGGGATCTTCTGCTGCTGCAAGGATCTGCAAATCTTGATCATGACACAGCATTGGTTTATTATAGTGATCAGTCACCCATGTGTCTTTCTTCTTCAAAGTCCATCCCCCTGTGGTATTTACTAGTATTGCAATGTGGAAATCTCGAGCAACATTTACAGCAGTTTTCAAGTTTCCAGGAGTTTTAAGAAGGTGCCATTGCCAAAACAGCCGCTTTGGGACATTCAACTGCAGACATCACAGCTGTCCCTCTGACAAAAAGTTCACAGAGTGTTACTTCTCTCCATGTCCGATGGCTGCACGTGAGTCAGCGTGAGTCGCGTCCCTGAATTATGACTCGCTGTTTAAATGCAGTTCACAACCTCCAACACCAAGCTCTTCTTCTTCAACAAAAACAAAGGCCACTCTTTGGAATGATGCAGATTAAAAACAGTACACACATGTAAAGAAATACACAATAAAATATAAAATCCATTAAGAATACAAAAAAGTGCACAGTGTATAGTTGCTCTCTCAGAGAGATCAGAGGCTGAGGAGGATAGTCTCCCAGCTTGTAAAGGGAACAAAGCCTTGTTGAGTCTGGTGAGCATGTTGGTATCAGCAGCCTTCGGTGTCCTCAGAGTTCTTCCGCCATTGCTCATCTCATTTGCCAGCATTCCCAGTGGGATTATACTCAGTTTCACCCGCCGACACCTGAGAGATGCGACGTGTGGAGCCCCAAATGCGGGGGAATTGCCCTGAACGAACCTGAGAACAGGAGAGTAAATATGTTAATCTTTACTTGAGGGCTAAAACAGAGATGTTAGACCAAAGACGCTCAATTATCATCTGAAAAACCTGGTTTTTAACAAGCACTTAGCATATGATTACCCCCCCCCTCCTCCTCACACAGTCACAAACACACACCGCCACCCCAGTCCCACATCTAACAATCACTTGATGTCTTGCTTCTCACCTCCTCTGGCTTCCCTGCCCCCACAACAATTAACTTCCCGTCCTCCAGTCCCACAAGGATGTGGCTGCACTCTTTGGTGACAGACACACTTCTCACAGGAACTTTCAAGGCCAGCGGTCTAACCGACGCGTCCAGACTGTCAAACAGAGTTAGAATGAAGACTTAAAAACGTAAAGTTATTATACAAGCTGTAAATTGGCAGCATTATAATTACTTAAAACGTTGCTCTACCTGCATAAATCTCGTATGTGCAGGCTGCCTTTCACGGTTCCCACGATGATGTGTTCAGACACAAGGTGGAGAGCAGTCACCTGCTCCTCCATGGTGAAGGAGGACAGCAGGCAGCCGTTTACTGTGTAAACATGAATGGAGTACTTGCCCTGAAGGAATAAGCAGGTTTTAATTGAGGTAATAAACAGTTGGAGAAACTTGTTTGAGTGTGTATTCGCTCTGTACGATATTAAAGTACCTTTCTATGAGAGCGCTCCTCCAGCGAGGTCTGCACCACGATGTGGCCCTCCATGCCCACCTGGAGCTCAGAGATGTGTGCGGGGACCCAGCTTTCTCCAGGGGGCCGCAGAGTCCGCAGGAACTGGCCTCGCCGGACAGTGTGCACTATCACAGTCCCATCCTGATACACAGTGAACAGCAATGATTTAGATTTAGTTTAGATGCAAAGCAAACTCCACTGTGCATTGTTTTGGTTTCAGAAATGCAAACCAAAGCCACATGGACTTAGTTTATTGGAGCCCTGGCAATGTCCTGCTGCAACTTCTGGCAACAGAGAGAATCTTAATAGAAGAATCAAAAGCCCTTCAAATTACTATTAGGCATAACAGACTTGCATGTACATATATCTTCTCTAATCTAACCTGTTTAACCAGTAAGGAACATAGGAAGAAGAAAAGACAGCATCAGCCAAAGCTGTGGTTTGATTAATTTAGTTTGAACAACCGGTGGCTATAAGATGGCAACATCTGTGTCTTCATAAAGGTTTGGGTTTTATGTCATGTAGCTGGTGCAGATTACATTCTCACTTCTAATGAGCCACATCAAAGTTTGCTTGGAGGACATCCAAGTAGTATTTCTACATTTTCAACACTTGTAAATACCTACAGAACTCAAGCTGTACAAGATAAACATTTAAAAATAATTGCATTACATAGAAATCTATATTTTGAAATCTATATTTACCAAAGTGTGCAAAAGTTAAGTCCATTGGTTGATCAACAGAACATGTTGCAACTATTATAACAATCAAAAAATACTTTCCTTTCATTGTAGTAAATTAACATTTGGACCAAAATGAACCCCTGATTGATGAGTCATGATACAAACCATGCGTTGACAATAGGATTTATTTCCTCTTTATTTTTTTAAATGCCTTATTTTTTTATTAAGCTTATAAATGTTCATATAGTGTGATATCACTGACCTTCGACCCTGACACAGCCATGTCCAGTTCAGTGCTGATGGCCACACAGGTGACCTCCTGGTCGTGGCCACAGAGGACCTGCACGGGTCGAGGAGACAGACCGCTGGAGAAGCCCCCCTGAGGGACAGACAAAAGGAGGATTCATATGTGGAGCCACAACTTTGACTGTAGAACAAAATGATTCACAGGTGACATTCACATGTGAGATGATTTGTAAATGTTTACCTGCTGCAGAACCTGCCACACTATACAGGATGTGTCCCGTGAACCAGAAATGAGGTAGATGCCACAGAGATCCAGAGCCAAGCAAGTAACAACGTCTTTGAGGAACATATAAAAATACCAATAAATATTTAGCATATTTGGAAACAAAGCATAATATAAATTAAAATACTAGTATATGAGCTCACCAATGTGCCGGCAAATCCTGCCCACCAGCTTGCCCTTCCCAAGCTGGGTGACACGGAGACTGCAGTCCCAGTGTCCTCCACTGAAGAGCAGGCGGCCGTCGTTGGACACCACCAGCACCTGAGCACTGATCTCCACCCCCGGAGAGAAAGGTCCGCTTAAGAATCGCTGCGTCCTGCACCACAAAGCAGGGATGAAAGAAAAAAGGAAGCGAGAGTGAGCTGAACGTGGAGGAGATTTATAACGGGCGCATTAAACTGTCATAACATCTGCAAATTACAACCTGCATGAAACACAGCGTTGAAATGGTTCTTACACTGATTTATTTCGCCTTTATGTGATCTATGTTCAAGGTCGGTGAAGCATAAGACCCATTAAAGGAAATTTCCATGAATTAAAAAAGGCTTTGAAGCACCACAAAGAGTCAGACAGATGTGATGCTTCAATCCAGCTGTCAGGAACGTTTTATGCATCTTTTAATGTTGTGAGGTAAAGCACATTTCAACAACTCGGTTGAGGATTTCCGAGAAAAAAAATTACATCCATCAAAAACATTTTTTTCTAAGTATGGAGAAGCTTGTTTCAGACTCAGCTAATGTGATTCCTCAGAGTTTGGTAAACAGATATGTAACACACAACCACAAAAACATAGGCTTCACATGGGCGTGTGTTTTCTGAGGGCACTCACTTGGGATTAGTCATGGTGGGGTCCTTGGTGAAGGTGAAGTAGTTGGCGATGTTTTTGTCATAAGGCAGCCAGCTGTGTGTCCCTATTAACCCGTTCGAACTCACAGTCACCTGTAGAGAAAAAGAACCATAATACTAAATGCTGAAACTGTTTCAAATGAATGTATTTATATGCCTGTGTTCAGTTTTACATGTGGGGGACTGTTCCTTACCAGCATATCTGAGCCTTGGATGATAAAGGGGCGATTCTGGCTCTTTGGTACCACTGCCTGGACCAGAGGAAAGCCATCGCTTACCACCTGAGGCACACATAGGCACACATTTTATTAAATACACGGAAAAACAATATAGTTTGTTTATTTAGAGGAATACTGTTTAAGAGACAAAACTCACTTCCACAAATGGTCGGAGTTTGTTGAGGTGCTCAAAGATATTCAGGGGTATAGTGTCCAGGCGGACCTGCCGCCTGGTTGCGTTCTCAGCTGACATACGAGGAGGATGAGGCTCCTGGGGGGAGATGGTAATGTCATATAAAACTGTTTTGAAACAGGAACATAAAAGCCATTTGTTGATAATCAAGGCTGTGAATGAATGGGGGAGTTGTACCTTCAGGAGCTGACAGGGAGTCTGTCCAAAGTTGCTGATGATGCCTTCAAGGGCCTTGCGCTCCGTCTCGTTGGCAATTGCATCCAGATCTACAGCGCCTGCAAGAGAGCCAAACAAGAAATAAGTGAGGCTCACAGATAAACAATTTCATGTATTAAGACTGATGGGTGTTATGGGAAATCAGTCGAAATAAATTATTGTAAAAAGCCTAGAAGGTTCCATTGATCTCTATAACAAAAGAGTATGTCTTACCCTCATAAGTGCAGTAGTAGAAGACATTGAGGGCGTTTACTGCCTCTTCGCCCCTCTGCTTGAAACCAAAGATGAGGTCGATCCACTCATGGAGGTGACTGGACACGTGCTCACATTCCTACAGTTTAGGATTCTGAATATTGTCATCTTGAATAGTTGTCTTAATATAGTGTGTTAATAAACAAATATGCCATTGACAGCTAGGTTAAATACTCTGTACAGTGTTTATGTGGACTCACCAGGGCTTTCCTGTGCTGCTTGATGAAGTCTTCTCTGGAAGAGGCCCAGCGAGGCAGCAGAACATCGGCCACAGCATCCTGAGATATCTGCAACTGTCCCAGATCGAAGCCTACAACCATGAAGATGCATTAGGTTCTGACATTAAACAAATATCTGCATCAACATCTCAGAGCAAAACAAAGCCGATTCATTTGCTTCCTCACCATTCTGGTTCTGCAGGAATTCTGGGAAGTAGAAAAACTCCGGGATGAGCTCTTTGACGTCAGCTGGACTCTCCATGCGAGCCTGCCAGGCTGCTGGCACCGAGTGGAACTGTCGGTCTGCACAGTCAAACCTAAACGACAACAGGAGTTAAAAACACGAAGCTGCAAAGAAAACAGATTTCCCTTGAAGTATAATGTACAAGCCAGCGTCCACACCTGCCGCTCTGCAGCTGGATATGCAGAGTTGTGAACGGCTCCATGCGGATCATGTAGTGCATGACTCCTGCTGCATTAGAGTAGTGTGTGCCATAGTGGAATTTGTCGATGGTGCCTGTTGGGTCCTCAAAGCTCTCATACCTAGTGACAAACAGTATGCATATTGATTTAGGAATAGAAGACTGAGTATTTTGCACTTTTAGCTCCTTATGTTGCATCCACGGTTAGCTACTAGCTAACCCTTTTAATCCAACATAAATTCCATTACTATATAACCACTTACTTTTCTCTGACATTCTGTGCATGCCGAGAGTTGACCACACCAATGGGCTTGGACAAATCTCTGAAAACTGACGGGTCATCCAGATCCAGAATGGGAGAGGTGTAGTCACACAAGATCCAGGGGAACTGAAGAGAAAGGAAAAACACCCAAATGCAACATGAAGTCCATTCTAAGATTAGGATAAAATATACATATACGTAAATATATGCAGTGCACAGTGGAGATGCAGTGTACTCACCACAGGATACTGCGACAGGTCGTTGTAAGTGCGTCCAGAAATAGTATTCAGTTGCATCAGGTACTCGAAATTGGAGATTTCTCTGCACACCCATTTCTGTTCAAAACACCAACATAAGTCCATCATAATAGGCAAAAATGAGATGAGAATAACACCCCATTAAGAGAACTCAATTAAAAATGACCTGTGTAAGCCCAGATGCCTTCAGTAGCTCTTGGGGGGAGCGAGAGCCGAAGTAAAACAGGTTGGGAGGCCGCAGACCCAGAATCCTGGAGTACACTTTGTTTCGTACCTGTAAAAGCAGATAGAAATAATGTAATTCATTTAATGATGATATCAGCGCAGAAGGAATTACATTGAAACTGAGCATCACCTTCTTCCTGAAGTTGATGAAGTAGTGAGACTGGTCGATGAAGAAGAGCTCCAGCGCAGATCGTCGCAGGTTGTAGCGCCTCAGATGGACTTCTCTCAGCTGAGACAGAGGTCTCTTAAAATCAAACCCGATTCCTAATTGAAGCAGATATTATTCAGGGTACAGTAAATAAAGTTTGGTGAGTTGCCCGTGATCACACCTTTTCTTACCTTCTTCTGTCTCTTCTTTCTCGCTGTTGCCATCATAGAAGTATAGATGGTGCGTGGTTACTTCCAGACGACCCGGAACAACCGCCACGATGGTGATAAGCTCACAGTCTTCAGACAGAACCAGTTTTTCTTTCTGGCTCTCGTCTTCTCCCTCCACCCTGACAGCAAAGAAACATTTTAAATCATAACATATTTAATGACATTTCAACTATTTAAAAACAATCCTTCTGTGAATTGCCCCAGACACTGGCACAAAAATATATGGGAATGAAAGACTCACTTGTTATCCAAGAAGACAACGTCCTCGTCTCCTAACTGATCGTCCTCCATGTCACTAACTTTTGCTTCCTTTGCAACATTCAAGGGGAGCAGGTCAGAGCTACGAGGGCTGTCCGCTCCTGGAGACCACAAAAAACGTCTTTAGTGCATTTTGCCTACATGACAAAAAGCAGCTTGCATATGTTTAACCTCAGTGACATACCCATGTTGTCCCTCAGGGCGCTGGCCTCACTGTGAGGATCATAGTTGAAGTTGGGCACAAGCTTGAGACGCATCTTTGAATAAGTCTCTGCGTTGGACAATTTCAATTTCACCACTGGTTGAACTCTGGCAAAAAAAGGCAAAGGAAATATTAAAATGAACGACATTCTGGGGATCAAGAAACACAAAACGGACTGTATTGTTTCAGATAATAGCGTTCCCTCTCATATAGTTGCATGTCATTATTGGTCAAATGGATTAAAAGAAAAAGGACAGGTTAAAATGAGAGGATGTCATACTTGTTGGCCCATGCTCCTCTCTCACTGGTCAGAAGCCTCCGCAGAGCTCTCCAGTGCTGCCACACCACCCCCTGCTGGCTGGAGCTCTGCTTCTGCACACTGAAGTACCTGTTGTTCTCACTTTTTGCTCGTTTCAGGCAGGGGTCCACAATCACTTCCTGATTACCAACAGACATGTACAAATATAGGATCAGTAATGTGAAAGGTTTAACCCTGCTAGCTGGTTAATGTCAGTGTTTGTTGCATGAAGCTTTAAAGTTTTATAACCTGAAACTTGGACTTGCTGTCTGATCTCTCTTTGTCCCGTCTTTGGGCTGTATTCATCAGGTCATCGAAGCAGGAATTCCAGAAATTGGACATGATGTCATGGCTCCTCCCAAACCTGTCCAGCTCATATAGCTCCATGGTGGGCTGAACCTGGAGAGGGGGGTTCAGAAGGGGGACATTAACACACACATTCAGATAGAATAGCACACATATGCATAATGCTTCACTTATTCTACATAGGAGCAAGAAACACAGATCTAAACATTAAGCAATTTTTTTCTGGTTGATTTATGTCTTTTTGTGTCATCACACATCCCTCCATGGCTTTCTGCCTCTTTGTGGTGTTTTTCTGTCTCTCTGTAGTTGTGTCCTAATTATAGTAATTGTTTTGCCTGTGGTTTTTCCCCCCTTTTTTGCTGATTTATCTATTTGCAGTTGTTTCTAGTGTTGTTGTAGTCTATTTTGTTATTGTCAGTTTCCTTGTGGTCATTTTGAGTCTCTTCCTGGCAGGCTCTTGTCTCTTTGAATTACATAGGTAGGTTAAGCCCAACGACATTTTGGGCCTTTGAGAATGCCTACAAATCATAACGTAGATGATAAACGTACACTTCTAAGTTCCCCTTAAGCCACAATCCAAGCATTTTCAAGATATGGTTAGTTAGTTATTGTTTGATTTCTAAAGGTGACTTATAAAGAAGTATGCTTTCTTACAAACTTTTATAAGTGTAATACAACCGGGATGATTCTCATTGTAAAAATGAGAAACACGACTGGAAATACACTTCCCAACTACTTCAACTGTTTCCCCGTGTCTATTTATTAAATTAGGAGATTATTTGTGCTACTGGACTTCAACCTTATCTGTTGATCTTTCCTCTTACTGTCCTGTCGCTTCACAAGCATGGAGTTATAAACATACATACACTTAGAACTGCCCTATACATTTACTCAAAACAGATACATAGGCTAAACTGTTAATATCAGCCTGGTCCTAGTTGCAAAATTGTCATGGCAGCCAAAGTTATGCCACTCTGGATAATGTATTGCAGGATCTGTATACAAAAGTAATCTAAACAAAACGGATTTATGAACATTCACTGTCACACAGTGCAATGATAAATCCTCCTCTAAGATCGCAGTGAGTGTGTCTGGCATCAGCTTCAAGTTTGAGCATACACTGATATCTGCTTACAATACATTAAGTCAGCTAGAAAGAACGATCGGGAGTTTAGAGTTGTTTTTCTACATTTTAAACTTATGATAACAGTTTTTAAATAATTGGATTAGATTGCTCAACCCCACACAGGGAGGTAACCGGTCAGAACTGGGGGCAGAGTTACAAAATCCTGAATGTAAACTAATGGGACAAAGAACAGAGCCAGCAGTATCTCTGAGAGGATGTTTGATTATATCTGCTCAGTCATACCAAAGACTGGAGAAGAGGCTCTCTAGACTCTCTAAACAAAAGATAAATGACATCTATTTTTAAAATCACATAGAAAAACCTCTGACCTGCTGCTGGTAAAACTCCTGCCACTCAGGAGTGTGGCAGTAAGTCTTCAGGTCCTCAGCGAAGGTGGTGCTGCCGTTAGTGACGGGCAGATTTGGCAGGAGTCCACTGAGAGTGTCGGGGTCGGCGTGCTGGTCAAGCAGCGTGCGCACGATGGGCACAAGCTGGGAGTAAGTCTCTGCATGTCCACAGTTGGGGCCGTCCATTACCCCTCCTGGCCACAGGGGGGCGCCCAGCTGCCCCAACAGGAAGCACACCTCCTCCCAGCTCAGACACAGGACGGTCTGGAGAAGGCTGTGGAGCTTCACATAGGCCATCACACACACCTGAAAAGGAGTAACAGGTCAATCAGTTGCTATGCTTTTGTAGAGTTCATTAAAACATATGATGAATAAACATGTATATGTAACAGCTTCGTTTTTCAGATCTAATGGGGGAATATCTTTGTTAAGACAGACTTTTTTCCTTTTTGGTGTTTAGTGAAGTTGAAGATGGATAGTAACGAGGGAAAGAGAGGGGATGATATGCAGAAAGGTTCCTTTGTGCTGTAAGCTCTTAATACACGTCGGCCTTTACCAGGTGAGCTCCCATGGCACTCAAAAAAGGATTTAAGCAGTGGTTCGGGAGTATGCAGATCCTCTAGTTGGGTAAAATGATCAAAACCACATTTTAAAAATACTCCAGTAAAACTAAAGGTTCTATATTATGTACGGATAATCAGCGAAATGGGCTTAAAGAAAAACAATCAATATGTTTGGTTCAATCTTTTAAACATTTTACAAGCTGATGAAGAAAGTGCAATACATCCCTCTGAAAGGAAGAAATATGAAGTATCATATATCCGAAATAAACCTAATAATTGTACAGTACTTGTATTTGTAGGCTACTTAATTACCTTCCACCATTGACATTAACAAAGCCATTTTTATTTTTATTTGAGTTTAATTTGTGTAATAAGACAACTTAAGTAGGTCCAGGCTTGTTTTAGTTCCAAGAGAACTACAGTACATATGTCAAGGTGCAATAAAGTTAATTTATTTTCAAACTTGATACTGTGACCAATGGTAAAAGTTGGGGGTCGAGCTACTTTGAAGATGAACCAGCAGTATGTGATGGAAAGCCTTATGGTCAGTTCATTTATGATGCTTACTCAATCCCACAATCCTCTATCAGCCATAACTCTAAGAGAAGCGGCCCTTTCGTACAGAACACTCCCTAAGAGGAATGACGGCAATGTCTTTGAAAAGAAACCCATAGAAGGCCTGGTATTTCTAAAATGGTCTTATCTGAGTGCACTACAGTTAAATAAACACTGTACACCCCTTTAAATGTATTTCCTGCCAAGTCAAAGCGCACAGGTGTTTGGGTTGTTAAATATTGTGAAATCACTTTAAAGTTTGGCATGCTGTCTGGGTGATGGACAGGACATGTTGTGGCTGCAGCTGACCTGCGAGTGCTGCTGCTGGATGTATCCGGTGATGATACGCAGGCCGATCTGGGCCATTTCCTTCAGTTCGGTGTTCCCGGGGCTGCCGGGGGTGCTGTGCCAGGCCTGCAACTTGTCCAGCAGGTTCACCACCCCCTCAAATATCTGCAACAACACAACAATAACCTTCAACAAAGGGATAAAGGATAGACCTGTTTCCACACCTTGCAGCATCTACTGTAGGATAACCTAAAGTCATTCACTACACTATAACCTACAATAAAAAAGGTGATTCAGATGCTACCTACACCCATCCGTGACTCCCCACCCTCCAACAAGACAATTCAGGAACATTCAAACATAGTAACCGACAACCACACCCAGCTGCCCATGCTTTGTGTTTAACGTATTATTAAGCCTCTCAAGTCTACATTGAAATAATTTCTAATATTTGTTTTACTTAGTCAATGTAACCAACAAAATTCACGTCCTGACAATGTAGTTCCAAAATGTATTGTGTGTGTTAAAGGTCCCATGACATTTCTACTGATCATAATTCCATTGTTGAGGTCTACTAGAACAGATTTACATTGTTCAATGTTCCAAACTCACATTCTCATACAGCATCTCTGTATAGTATGTGTATTCACTCTCTGTCCTAAACGGTTCGTTGGAGCTCCTGCCCCCCCCCCCCCTCTGTATGAGCCCACTGTGCTCTGATTGGTCAGCTCGCCCACTCTGTTCTGATTAGTCAACCACCGTTACAGCTGAACATCAGTGATTATGTGTTTCAATGGCGTTTGTTAGCAACCAGAAAATGACACCAGTAATGACAAACAGATGAGAATGCTGCGTGGGGTCTGGGTGCCGTGTTGGCAGGACGTTGCGGGGCTCTCTGCTGTGAGCCCTATGAGGCTTTTAGGAGCGGCAGTGGTGAGCTGGATTACTGGTGTCGTTTTCCTGGTTGCTGCGTGGGGGTCTGCGAGACAGGCGAGACACGTGGAACTCGCCTGAAGCACACACGCACACACTCACAGGCCCGGTGTGTGTGCGTGCGGAGATTCGCCGGAGCCGCGGCTGAGAAAAGATAAGGCTGAGTGTGTGTGTGTGAGGAGCTCCGCGGATTGGTCCATTTTGGACCTGGGTATCGTTACGTCACTGTACTCAGGAAGAAAAAAATGGAAAGAGAAAAATCTCCAACGAGGCGTTCTGGGGCAGGCATAGACAAGGTATTTTCTGTGTTAGAGTTTTACTCCCTTACAGGGTGTACTTTGAGGGTTTGTGACTCTGCAGACGGTTTACATGCATAAAAAGCTACATAACACACAACAGGGACGGGTAATAACCGGAAAAGCATGTCATGGGAACCTTAATAATTGTATTTTATTTTACCACCTTGTATAAATTATGATATCTTGTTATCACAGTATACTGATGTTCATAGATTACAGCATGTCTTGGAAGCACGACGCATTTATTGTTTTGCCACAAAGTTAACGTCTACCAGATTCTGAAAGCGTGGGTGCGCTTCTGTACATAGTCGCTCGCGTCTCTCCCTCCCCGCGCTAATGTAGGTGGCTCTCGTGTTGAGTATGTATGGTACGGCTACTCCTAATTGTCAAGATTCAGTTCTGTCATAGATGTGTGAGCTCCGCCACACTGTTCTTGTCGCTATTAATGCGATTGTAGAATATGGTTTCCCGGATACAAGGTTGTGATAGGTTTTACCGGTGTGCATCTCCCTTGCGGCCTCCTCCTGTACCATACAACTTTTCGGAGGCAATTTCTCAGAGGGTGTGCATACTTTCGCGATCGTGTGCTCTTTGTACTCTAGCCTCCAGACGTAGTTATGTTGGTTTGTGTGATATACTTTTCTCCACAGGGTGGGTTGGCTTCCAGGGTGGTACGGTGGATTCTTTTTTGGTTGGTTTTCCATTTATATTCTTGTATTTATTTCTCTGAGCTTTCCAAGATATTTGTTTGTTGTGCGATTGCTCCGAAATAGGGTCTCCAGTTGGGAGGGACTTGCGTTCCATAATTTGTTTTGCTTGGGCTATTTTGTGAGGCGCCGTCAGATCTTAAAAAGGCCAGTTCATGTTTTGTCGTATGTTCTTGATGCCCACCGGGCACCGGCAGCCGGGTGGTGTTTGGTTTATTTGTTATCTGCGTTTGTGGTGTATCTTTATGTATTTGTGCTTTTATGTGTTTTTTGGTTGATAACCTACTTGTTGGAGTAAATTACTTTCAATCTACTTCAGAATGATTTGTGGAGAGCTAACTTTGTTTACCAATGTGCCATAACTTTTTTGGGGAGGCATGATATAAACATATCCTAAAACTAAGCTGGTGGTACGGGAACCGTTTTAGTGACCCCGTGCGATTGGATCTAAAGTGTTTTTAAACTGTTAGTTGGCCAGGGAAGGTAGCCCGGTACTTTGCATCAAATGATCTATGATGCTTCTGCACTACCCGTCTTAAAAGTCCTTTTACGTCAAAGGTGTTTGGCGTGTGGTTTCTGCGCCTCTTTTGAGATTCACCTGGTGCCCCGGGCGCCAGGGCTTCTGTTTGTTACTGTGTGGCTCGAGCAAGATCTGTCGTCAGTGCTGAGGAGTGTCTCGTCGCTCTGGACAGGAGTTGTGGAGATGAGGTGTGTGTGGTGAATGCCCGGATTTCAGGGGTGTTACGTTTTCTCTGCATGTTTATAATGTTAATCCAAATGGGCGTAACTGAAATACTTGATTGTGGATTTGCATCGACCGACCTGGGAAGCGTTCCTTTTTGAATGGGGCGCCCGCAGTAGATAGGAGGGCTGTCTTCTGTCTTCGGCCCATCAGGGTCGTGTGATCGCCTTCCTTTGTTAGCGCTGTCTGTCGTCCGAGTTGCGCGCGTTTCGATCTATTCTGTCTTGTTGATAAAAGTGGAAAACAGGATGACTGTACCCGCCAGTGTGTGTACAATGCTGATTATAGCTAGACTGTAGTAAAGGGTGACCCAGCCATTGGGCGTGGGTTCACTGCTCTTTTCCACATTTCTGTGTGAGCTTTAGGTCCCGAATGTGTTTGTGAGTGGCCGAACGGGAACGCAGAGTGGATAGATTGCAGCCTTCATTTTTTGTCTTCATGACTTCGTGTTGATAATGGTGACAGTGGGTAGGGTCGTCGCGCTTGGGCTAGTAGAGAGCGGAATCTCTCTTGTTGTGATCAGAGCAGCGACTATTTGTTTATTCACATTTAATTAGTTGTTTTGTCGTATCTGTCATTGGTGTCGCGGCTCATCGCTCAGCACCTTGAGGGAAATCTCATGATTGCTACGATGCTTTTTCTAGTTGAGGTTGCATCGTTATACGTGGTGGGGCAGCGGTTTGTGGTGGTTATACTCAGTATATTAGCTAACTACTCAAATCATCTAGAAGATATTCAAAGACTTAAATGCTCATAAAAATGACTACCATATATCAGGGTGCATTCGTTTGTGCCCGTTTTAGTCTCATAAACATCTGCGCCTTGCGACGTCTCGTACGTGTGGGCTTGGATGGCGTTGGCACGTATCTCGGATGGGTTCAGTGGGGAGGGTCCTCGCTCCTCGCCTCGGTGTACATCCCGCACGTTGGACAGACTGGGAGCTCTTCCTGTGTGTGTCTGGCACGGTGTGTAATTATCGGTGAGGTGTCTCTAGAGCGAGCAGGTGTGTTTTTGTGCGTTGCTGCCCGCTTTGAGTGGTATAGTGTCTGTCCCGCTCTCTCCACGTGGGCGGGCAGATCCAAATCCAAAGGGCGGTACAAAAGGGGTGAAAGCGGCGCTGGTAGCTCTCTCCCTTCATCATCAGGGCGAGAGGAGGTGATATCAACGGCATTGGAGGGATGGAGACGAGGGGCTCACCTGGTCCACTGAATCAAAAGACTTAAAATGAGGAGCCCGATGAAGGTTTTTAAGCGTTCTCACTCGGGGACTGGGATAAATCGAGAATCCCTCAGAGATGTTCTCGCTGACCACTTTCATCTCCTCCTCTTCCTCTCCTCCTCCTCCTCCTTTCCTCCTGGCCTTGCCTCTCATCCCCCGGCCTGTGCGCAGGTGAAGTCACCCCGCTCTGCGGATTGCGGTGTTGCATAGATCTCCCTCTCGCAGGCCTGAGGAACGTGCACGGCCCTAGTTGCGCGAGGGGAATC